CTATCTAGTAATCCTCTGTTTGCCGGAAGGGCTTGCATACCTCGCACAGGTGCCACCTGTCTGCAGACCTCATCTCTGTGCATCAGCTGTGCTCCTGGGTGGACCACCAACAAGCACTCCGACATGCGACCTGTGCAACTTTGGGCCTGACTCCTACTGTCCCACTCTCAGGGGAGTCTGGAACTTATCCGCAAAGGGAAGCACTCCATTGGCCTCTCACACCAGGTACGTGACACAATTCCAGCAGTTTTGTTGCTCAGATGCCAGGAATTTAGCAGCATTTTGACCTGACACCAAAACCTCCAGATTCAGAAGGTACCTCATGTTATCTAACGTAAGTCATGACCATGTAACACCAGTGATTTGAGGCCAGCTATTTATTAGTACATGGGATGACATACTGTACACATTTTGCATAGCTGCAGCACAATCATGTGGTGCACCTAGTTCTCAGTTCAGTCGAAATAAATGGGAAGTGGGAGGGAACATTGCAGTTCACATTGCTGCAAAGAACCCTAACGTTTGTGTTTTACCACAGAGACTAGAGTGGACTATCTGACTATAGGATCTTAGTGCTCAGTCAGGACCAAAGGCACCAAGATTACAATAACAATTTTGATGCATGGATGAAAGTCAAAGCGCATTTTCATTTTTTTTTTTTTTGAAACCTTTTTTTTTTTTTAGCTGCAAATATTTACTTTTTATTAAAGAGTAGCTTGCAAAAGGGGGATTTCTTTTAAAAAAGTATGTTTGGACTGTAACCTTTTACTAGCAAAAACATATAGCTTCAGGCTCCAAGATTATGCAGTACATTGCTTGTCTGCACACAGAAATAAAACTACCTGCTTTTCTTCTGCTAAATCCTGATGCTCATAAATGTGGGCAAAGCTTAAATGAGCTACTGAAAATGAGCTACAGAACAAGATGCATAAATATCAAAATAAGACAATATCAATAGGCAGCTTAATAATTTGGTCTTCTCTGGACTGCTGAATGCAAAAACAAGCTTCTTTGGCTAGAGGTGCTAGGTACCTGTTGTAACATCTCTCTGCAAATTAGCCAAATCCTTTATGGCAGCCTTTCTCAACCAGGGTGCCTTGAAGTTTCTTCAGGGGTGCCTTGGCAAAATGCCTAAAAATTGGCCAAAAATTGTATACAAGCCAGTGGGTGGATCAAGCCTGCCTTTTAGTTACACCAAGCCATAGGTTTTCATTACAACCCTCTAGGGTCTTAACAACCAATGACAACATCAGTTGATATGGAGGATGTTGTCGTCTGCATGGCATCCTTGTTTGACACCCCCACGCATCTATGTCAGTAATGGAGTCAAATTAGCCAAGTGAAAGAGAGAAATTGAGGGAGAAGAGAAACATTGGAATACAATTCAGTAGCAGTGTGCAAAAGTGTATTTGCTTTGAAAGATTAAATCCCCTCTAACATTGGGTGTCCTACATGTGTGGGTTTTGCTACATTAGGTAAAACTATTAGAATATTTTTTTACATTTTAGAATGGTGTGCCTTGAGACAGTCCATAATTTTAACTGGTGCCTCAAGATTGTTCGTAACTTTAAATGCTGTCTTGACTGAAAAAAGGTTGAGAAACACTGCTTTATGGAACATATCAAAGTCTTAAGAGTGCAATGGTGTCACTGCTGAACAAGTGCAGAGGTGGATTCCAGCATGGGCAAATATCTCATCTATGGCTTAAATCTTCCAAGTGCAAAAAAAAATAAAAAAACACCTTTATCTATCTTAAACATGTATGTATGTGGAAATCAGGTGTGACAAGCAAAATGAAACAAGTCATTATAAACTGCAACAAATTTTATATAAAGCATCCATAATCACAGTTAGAAACAGCTTTGTTATGCTTTGATGCTTCCAAAATGCAAAACAAAAATGACTAATTATTTGCAAAGTATCCTAATATCAAAAATAGAAATGCATTTACATCACATTTACCCCACATCCTATAAGTACATATTTATATTTTACAATATTTTTTTTCACTCACAATTAAGGAAAATAGCAAATTGTAACTTTATGCATGGTGCCTAGTCTCACACTTTTACAGTGGGATGTTTTATCAAAGAACCAACCAAAGTGCCATATATTCTCATTTAGGGCACTGTCTACTTGCCTAGCATCACTCAGTGTTATGCTTACATAGGGGTTTAAGCCATATGTGTTATCCCTTCTATGTACTTGCAATCACTATATAGAAGAAAACTGAAATGAAATGTTCTATATACATGCATGATATGGACATTAAAATATTACGTACACTGGTTTCTCGTTCCAGGTGACAAGCAATTAGAGACCTCATGTGCATAAAACTTGCCATCAATATTATTATTCTCTAAAGTGAAATGTGAGACAATAATTATTTACATTCTGTTACATTAATGCTCCACTACAATCAGAAAAATACTTATTTTACTCCTTTTGAACCTGAATAACATGATATGATATTCTGTTATAGGATTTACCCAAAACATGCATTAAAAGGAGTTTCACATAAATCTGTGGCTTGACTGAGCCTGTGTTCAGCCTCAGTGATGCATATTACAAAGAACATTAGTTACTATAAAAGCATTGGCACTGGGCTGGTGAATGTAGAATTTCTAAGCCCAACAATTTAGGCCTCATTCGCACAAGATGTTTTAAAAACGTTCCTCCTCTTTGCAGAATTATTTTGGCAGAAAAAAAGCCTGACGCTTGTAAAAGTGCCCAACACTTTTACAAGCTTTTAGGCGCATTTACAGGCATCAAGCTCTAGGGCGTTAATTCATTTCATTAGCCAGAATAATAAATTATTCTGGCCATTGAAATGAATTAACTCTCAAGCGCTAAATGCGCTTTACAATTGTCAAGCATTTTTTCTGCCCAAGAGCTGCTGCTCCTGGACACACTGGCAGTGTTTTTGTTTTACAGCTCCTAAAAGCCCCTGCCACTAAAAGCTTCTAAAAGTCTATGTGTGCATGGACACATAGGATAATATGGATTGGTGTATGGAAGCTGTAAAAAAAAAACGGCTGACACCCCTAAAAGTGGCTGCAAAAACACCCTGTGTGCATGAGGCCTAAATCTTGGAGATAACAGGCATTTTCAAGGAGCTTCAAAAGACAGAAAAACTTTAAAAAAAAATAGGCATCAGTTGTATTTAAGGCACATTGGTAACCTTTCACTTAGGGATTTTTCAGCTCTACACTCAGAAATACTTTGGTTGTAGCTTTAGTGGAATTAGTGTATGCATAAAACCTGTACCAGAAGAAATAATTAACATTATGCAAATAACTATTGAGGTTGGAATAGGATGCCACTGCAAGGAGCTGTCATGACATCGTCCAGCAACCATTCTTCCTTTAGGCATAACATGCTTATCTTTCTAACAAATGTTGGTGGTTGTTATATAGCCAAACCACCCATTGCACAGATCCCTCTGTATAAGAGCTGACCACCCGACCTGCTTCTGTGTTCCAAAATCAAATGCCCCAAAATAGAACAAAGCATAACCATAGTTTCTGTTTGGGGCATCTCTGTTCTTGTGTTATCCTGGTTTTCCCACTGCTGGTTCTGTAATCACCAAAAACTCAGATGCTTCAGGTATGTTAACACATTCACAATTTATGTGACATTAATAGCAGATGTTTGATAAATTGTCATTTTAGCTAAATATTTTAATGCTAGCCATACACGGTAAGATCTTTTGTTATTTGCAATTCTTCAACTTGACAGACAAGCATTGGAAATTAGAATCATCAAATCAAATTATTTTAGCTGCATGATTTTCCTTGAATACAGATTTCAGGTCTAATGAGTGATGTGGCAACCGAGGTAACAACTACTAGAGCCGTGGTCCCGGGGAGCCGTGTTATAACCCTGATTCAAGAATGCTTGTCTCTTTCCTTCTCACTCCACCAACTGATAGGGCCCAGGGTAGTTCCGCTGCAATTCTTTGGCCAAAGTTTTTTTTTTTTTTTTTTTGCCTCTGCAGTCAATAATTTCAATTTATTAGATTTTTTTTTCAAATGGTATTGTGCTTGAACAAAGATTTTTACATGTTATACATTTTTATTGTTTCAATGAATGTATTTGTCATTCATACTAAAAGAACACCTATTCTGAAAATGACGCTGTACACAACTGGTGCTGCCTGGATATTCCTTTGGAGGTTTAATCTGCAAGATGTCTGTGTTTCTTGATAGCGCCAAAGACTGGCCTAGCTCTTCCCTTCTCCATATTGACCAATGGGCCTGCATAAAAGAGGCAGGCCAGTGGGGAGGCATGAGAGCAAACAGGTCAGCATTCAACATTACCACAAAGGGAAACAACAGGGATTGCCTGCAAAATTCAAAAATTCAAATGGAGTCTCTAGGTATATAGCAAATAAAGCTCCAACCAAAGTAGGATACCCAGCCTTTGGTAGTTCATTGTACAGGCCATTGGAATTCAGAATTCATTGCTACCAAGAAGTGTTGAAGCATTGCAAATCAGGGTTCTACTCTACCTCTGTGTTGTGCAAACATCCAAAGATACATATAGACACAACTAGGTGCTGCACTTAATTTATGTGCTTACTTTTCAGTGTCATTTTTGTTTACTTTAAGCCAGTGATTTAAAGTGATGCTTTAATCTGCATTGCATTGGATAAAACCCTGAATAGTGCATGGCCAGCTTTAGCTAAGATGGGAAAAAGTTACAACAAATTTTATATTGAATTCTCTTGAATCTCTTCCACTTAAAAAAAAAAGTATGTACAAAACAGCATAAAATAAACAGGCCATTGTAGCGAACAGATACAATATTCACATAAAAGCACTGGAAATTCCAGTGTAGTATACAAGTCTTTCAATCATAAACAGTCAAGTTTTAATAACGTTAGTTTTGGAGAATTCAAACCGCTTAAGCTGTAGATCCGCCATCTCATATTTGTAAGCCCAAGTGCATTGGCAGGCATGTGTGTTCTTCAGTGAGGTGGGCATAGTCCTTGATCAGGTTTATAGGTTGTCAGTATATATAATACATGGGCTTGTTTCCTCGCACAGTTCCAGTTGCACACTAGACGCAAACCATTTCTTGGCCCCCCCACAATTGTAATTGAGTGTTGTTCTGTAAATGTTCTTGGCATGTTTGGGGAATATGATGGTTGTACTTTGAAACCTTAAAGGTTTGTTGCGAGGTTCAAAGAGCAGCTGAGATTTATAATTCCTCCATGTGCAGTTTGGAGTGGAGATTATGGTCTCACTGTAGGAAGTAATGGTTGGAACTGGGGCATACAAAACGTGATCTCGGTAATGCTTCTCTGAATCATATTTGATCTCAGAATTGCACCTGCAAGACAAGTTTTAAAAAATATAAGAAAATACAAATCTGATTAATACAACATGAAAGGTGTTTTAATCATGGCATCCAAATATTCGTAAATTAAGAAAACTTGTTTGATACACAAACTGACCAAATACAATATAAGCTAATTTATCTGTGAATGGTTGAATACTTTGCATCATATGGACAGCACAGAGGCTTTTATAAAGCATTACTGAGGTCCTCAGTTTCAATTCTAGCCAGGACACTATCTTTACCTGTCTAAATTGCCTATAGTATGTCTGTGAGATACGGACTTTAGATTGTAAGCAACTTGAGAGCAGGGACTGATGTGAATTAATAATCTGTAAACTGATGGTATTACTGTATATAAACACCTTAAATACCTATGCATGATATGTCACATAAATACTACGATTTAATATTTAGTAATTGTTCTTATGATTGTATGTCATTTTCCTATACAAACTACACTGTCCAATAAATGGAGACTCATTCTCTCAATAGCATTGCTAACTTTTTTTTTTATGGGTTTCATAAACAATTTTGCTACTGTTGCTTTTCAAAACTTGTAACATAAACACTCATAAATATGTGGATTTTGTCACATACTTAGGATTTGCTGTCCTTTTACCAGCTCCTATAGTCCTCCCAATGCTTTTTCCAGCCATAAACTCTGCTTCTCCTGGTAGACACATTTTAACCTAGCACATTTAATAAACTTAAATGGATTTTGAGTCCCTGAGAGAGCAGCACTGTAATCAACCCATTAAATAATTTTGTTACTTGCATATAAAGCAAACAGCGGTGGACTGGTCCTGTTGTTCTCACGTCCAGAGCCGGTCTATGGGCATGATGATGCGAGGAATAGTCCACTGCATAAGACCACTAGACAGAGAGGGGGCAAGAGTGGCAGGGACAGGTCTTGCGCCGGGAGGATCGGCAGAATTAGGTGAATATATCTCGGCTCAATCCCATAGACAAAAACAAGCAGTTAACCCACGCAGTGCGGGCACAGACTTGGAGTTCAGCTTTAACATTATACAAGAGAAACCATATAAAGCACTTGGATTTCCCAAATGCACTAAGAGGCTACAATCAACTAAACACATTTTTCAAGCCCTAATGAAAAAGAAACCCTAAAGCCCCCAGAAACCATTGGACTGTCCTTTTTGTTATATTTGGACTTTTGCAGTTAAAGCAGTACACTTGGATTTCTGTCCATTTTAAAAAGCTGCCTAGCTAGAATCATTGTGCTCTATCGTCTCATCTTCATCCTCAGGATCTAATTCTATTTCAAATCCAGCTCACTCAACTTCATGTTTTGCAAGGAAAAAAGACTGACAGGGTCTCAATCTATTCCCAACTGTCTCCAATAGGAAAAATACGTTTTGGTTGTGTTGAAGAACAATTACATTTCTTTAGTTGGCTAGATTGAACATCTAAATGAGTTTTAGTTACCTTTTGTTTGTGTTGCATTATGTTGTAGCTGCCTTTCTGTGTACAAAGCTGTGCACTCCCATTATGATGTACGTACAACCAAATGATAAGATCAAAATTATACAATCTGTCAAGCTAAATGAAAGTGCTAAATGAAAAGCTCAGATTGGCTGCTTTCAGTTATAGCATGTCCCTTTTTTTTTAGAACAGGGTAACTAATCAGTTTATGCTTTTAATATCTAGCTACCATTTCTGTGCCAGAATGAGTTCCATTTATTATTATTATTATTATTATACAGGACTTGTATAGTGCCGACAGTTTGCTCAGTGCTTTACATTATGGAGGGAGACAATACAGAAACAATACAGTTCAATACAAGAGGGATTAGAGAGCCCTGCTCCTTGGAGCTTACGATCCATTTCAACATTTATGTCACATGGTCAGTATGACCTATTTTCTTAAAGTGTTATTAAACCCAGGACCCTGCATTCACTCTATCTGGTCTCCCACAGTACACAGAACATGGAAATGCAATTATTTTAGTAAATATAAACTGCTAAATACCTTTTCTCATCAGCAGTTAGATCAGTCTTGTGACATCTATCAGTGTTCAACAGAGCACTGGCTAAAGCTTGTAGAAAGAGTTTTTATTCTCCCCTGATTGTCCTACAAGGCTGCATAACCCCTGACCCTCTATATGGACAGCGCTGATTGGCTCTGTGCTGATCACATGCACTCTCCCCCCAAAAAAAACTCTCTATCAATACACACCAAACTATGCACGTGCAGCTTGCCCCCAAGGCTCTGTTCTATCAGTATATGGAATGGGGACAGTAGAGAAAGGGGAGGATCGGAGAAGATAGAATCAAACAGCCTTCTGTTGATTGGCCCTGTGCTGATCACATGCACCCTCCCAAACAATAAACAAAAAACTCTCTGGCTATACATACTAATCTGAGCATGTGCAGAGTATCTCCTAGGGCTCTGTACTATCAGCAGATGAATTGAGGACAGTAGAAGAAAGGAAGATCAGAGAAGACAGGATCAAACAGCCATTTTACTCAATGCGGAGGATTAACCCCTTAGGTTCCTCAGTGAGTATAACAAGCATGCTTTACTGCATATACAGTTGATTTTACTGTTGTGGGTTTAGTAACACTTTAAATGTGCTGGGTAAAATTAGGAGCCTCTTTTTATTGCATTAATAATATCAGCTGATCTAATAAATTAACACTTGAATTGTTTCTATTTTTTCCCCAGGTAACTGCATAGACATGCATAAAAACTACCACAAACAAGTAAATTCCATGAAGCAACACAACTTGCACTGACAAGGTGCAGTTCAGTAAAGTACACTAAAGACTTAGATTCCAAAGATGGATAGCTCAAAGATCTGATTTACCTGATTTCTTGTACTGGCTCAGGATTCACTTCGATACTTTCTCCAAACACAACTGGCTGCATCCTTGGCCGTGCTTCTGGCATGGAGTTGTTGAGAAGGAGGTATGGGATCTGCAAGGGGAAACACATATTTTTATGCTTGATGCTTATCAGCAAAGAAATATGATTGTGGGTTTTATTCAGTTACTCGTGTTAATAACAAATGAAAACCAGGCCAATCAGTGAATCTGGGGAGAATCATATAATTTATGCTTCAAAATTGCTTTGATTCCTCAATTACATACTACTGTTCAGATCACGTAGATATGCATGCAAGTATTTGAAAAAATTGCAAATCATGTTCTTCTGTTTCCAGTCCTCAATACTCTTTAAAGTACACTTTATATAATATACTAGTTATCTGACTGACAACTACTGCTTTCTGAGACACATATCCAGAACAATCAAATATCAGAAAAGTTGCAGGCTTGTCAGGGTTCTGAATATGCAGACTTCTTTCAGAGACTGAGAAAGTACTGAAACCATTGGTTCATCATTGCTGTATATGTAGGGAACCAGCATTCCATTGTGGGAGGTCAACAAGTACAGACTCCATGCTTCCTCAGTACAGGCTTCCTATAAATTTGACTTTTATGAACTAAAATTGAACATTTCCATTATGAAAATATAAAAACATTGATTGACACCAAACATTGGTAATTAATAATACTTCAGGTTTCTCCACATCTGAATGGGTTAAGTCTTTCCTAATTGAAGGCAAGCAGTAGCAGCTTAGTTTAATGACTGACGCTGCTCTAAATAACTGTATGCATAAATTCCAGGCTAACTTCTTCTTTCAGAGTGACAGGTTGAGTTATAGTCTGCTTTTCCACAGTCAAAATTACTGCCAAAAGATTTATAACATAACTAAACTAACATAATAATGCTTCATGCTCACTGTGGCAAAAATTACATTTAGCTATTTTAACTGCTCAAGCACCAAATATAGTACATAAGTCTCCACTAATGATGGTTTAGGATGACACTGTACACTCTTGTAATTTTCTTATTAAAATAAAATCTTCTTATGAAAATAAGCTTTTCATTTTAAAACATGAAGGAGAAAGGAAAATATGGCTATATATATATCATAACAACCTCGAATAGCTCTAAAGAGATTATAAAAGATATTTTATAAAAATAAAAGAAGTAAAATGTGTCTGTGTTGACCAGATTCCAGCAGTCATTGCTACAGTGAAGTTAAAAATTGGAGGTCATCAAATGACTGGTTTGTATGGGCAACAACTCCATGTTCCATTCAAAGGATATTAATAACACTTGTATGATATTTCTCGCAAACAAATATTACTTCCGGTTATTATGAATATTACTACTGAAAAAAAATACTTTGATATACAACTAATAACAGAGAACTTTTAAATTTACAATTTTTACTACTGCATCTAGGTTTTCTTTTAAATATTTGCCATATCCTTCCCCAAGGATTCTTTAAAACTCATCACAAGACTCTTCCTAAGGTTGCCATAGATGGTTTGAAATTCGGTCAGTTCAGCAGGGACCAGCTGAATTTTGATCCATGTAGCCACAGCATAGCCACTGTACTATAGTTTTCACTAGTACTATTATGCCCATAAACTATTTTTTTTTCTGACCTTTAACAATTGCTAATCTGCTGTACTAAAGGTGGCCATGACATTAGATGAAGGACAAAGTCGGCTAAGCATGCCTACTGTATATACCAGAATGTTATGCATGTTTATGTGACCTGCTGTGCTAGTCTTTCTTGGGGGAACATCTGGAAGATATCTGCCCTGATTGTAGGTAACTTGTAAACATCCATATTATTATACAAACATGTCTACAAATGTAAGGTTTTGCACATCTTATGTGCAGGGGCACAGAAGTGATTTTGCATAAAATGTGCTAGAATTGTTTAAAGAAGTAGATATTGACTGATACTGAAATACATTGCTTGAATAATTCTACTTAACAAAGACAATGTCTACAATAGATTGCTTGAGCTGGCCATAGACAGTTCAAAATTTGTCAAGTTCAGTAGAGACCTGCTGAATTTCGACTTTTGTGTAGCTGTGCCTGTTTGATAGAAGTTGATTGTTAGAGTAACTTCTGTCAGACAAGTTGGAAAACTTTTGTCACGCAGCAGCTACAGCCATTGATCAGTGTATTTTGATAGTGGAGAGTTGTACTGTCAGTATACAGTGTCCAAATGGGGAAGATTCTTCATCCACCATCTATAGCCAACTTTACTGTACCAAAGAGCAATGTGAGCTACCATTTTATTTCATTTACATACAATGACCAGTTTTTCATACAACTATCTTCAGTATATTTTTTCTAAAAAGCAAAAGTCTACATATAATATTTTCATGATCTCAGTTTTGGCCTTATGTACATGGTCCACCTCAATGTAGATGCAAACCCTAAATGAATGACATTTAGGTTTGTTTTTATTTTTAATAAAATACTGGTTTTCGCCATCTTCCATACCTTATTGCATCTCAGTTCTGCTCATTACTTCCAACAATCTCTCAGCACGGGTTTGCTGACAGTGACAACCAGTGGTGTATATAGGTTTTGTGCTGCCCTAGGCAACACAAAAATTGGCGCCCCCCCTACAGAGAGAGCCTGACATTGACCAACAACACTCCTCCCCCCCACTAGAGAGAGCCTTCCATTACCACTGCCCCCATACACCAGCCACCATCGCCCACGTGAAGAGAAAGACACTCACCTTCACAGCTCCGGACAGCCCTGGGAACAAGAGGCGGGCTGTGCATACACTGTCATGAAACCCACAGCCTCTCTCGGAACCCACCAGGTCCCCATTCCACCTGTGTCCCTTCTTCCATCCCTTCTTCCGGCAGTGCTGCCCCCCTGAAAAATGACGCCCTAAGCAAATGCCTTGTTTGCCTTATGGTAAATATACCTTTGGTAACAACACTAGACCATGCCTGTACAATGTGCATGGGCATGTTTGTGTTTAGTATTCATCGGAAGCTCATGTGACAGGGTGTTAATGCAGGAGCACCATTTGGAGACTCTGTAACTCTATAACACAAAGGTGCCTGAACAAGGACCTCCATGGCAGAAATACAAGGTATAATTTTGATGAAGGCCACAGATTTAAAAATATTGAAAATAACTAATAATATTAACATGTTAAAGCTTATATGAGAACATAATGGCATATACTTTAATCTTACATCTGCAAGCATCCTCTTTGTGCATAGTTTAACCCTTTAGCGCCAACGCCTCCCAGCCCTTTAAGAGCTTCTAGATGCCAGGTGGCGGAGGCAGGCATTTGGGTAACGTGACCGCTGTGATTGGCTGTCACAGCAGTCACATGATCGGAAAGGTCCTGATGTCAAATATGCATTGGAAGCTTACCGATCCCCGCTGGCTACCATGCTGGGAGAGTTCACTCAGCACAGTAAGCTGTTTTATACAGGGCCGCTTATATGCAGCTGCTCGTCGTTAAGGCCCACCCGCTGAGAGGCGCATATATGCATCAAGCCAAAATTAAGTGGTTAACCTTTCACTTAAAATTACACAATGCCTTATTTATTTCTTCCTCTCCCTACAGTATTAAAATCTGACCTGCTTTATATTTCAGGATTTGTAAATACCTTTTTATAATCTTTTGTTATCCAAACCTTTGCCCTTCCTCAGTTCTTGCCTAGGCTACATTTCAGCTTTTTTCTGCAGTCTCCTCGGATACCACGTCTCACATCCCAGGAGGAAACAGTTTAATTCAGCTAGGGAGCTCTGTCTTGCTTTAACACAATGGCAATATAAACTACTGGCAATATAAAGTCCCGGCACCAAATCTGGCGCTGCATTATCAGGGGACCAGACATGCAGCAGCAGAGGGCAATGCAGATTACAGAACAAAGTGGATCCCCTGAGCTTGTAGCAATGTTAATTCAGTAAAAATGGTAAAAGAGGAATTGAGAAAATTTTGCCGCAAAACACAGAAGGTCCTCTGTAATGCCCTATAGCCTTTTAATCATTTGAAGATGTGTTGGTTCTGAATTTTATCAGTTTATGCTTTTGTAGTCTACCCAACTTATTATACTTCTTACTTTGATAGCAGATAGAGTTTTAATTTGGTTACAAATTTTGCATAGATATATTTTTGTTTCTTAAAGAGGAATTTCTCTCCCCCCTCTATTATTTTTGTTTTTTCCTCCCCCTATTACCTGATGCTGGTCTGAGGACATCTCAGATATTCACCCACACAGTGAATCTAGCGTTGTCCTGCTGAGATCCTCTTCTCAGCAGCTGCCACCAGGTCCTGTACTGCCATGTTTTTCTGTGAAGTCATCAGAAGGTTGCGCCGGCTCTTCTGGATTCTGGTGCAGCCTGCCAATGACACACCGCTAGCCCCACCCCTTCTCTGTTAGTGAGTGGAGTTGATGTGATGGGCTCCCGATGTCTCCTGAGATATGAATGTCATAGGAAGCACCAGGACACTGACGAAACTAATTGTGTTAAAAAAAACAAAAAAAAAAAGCGGAGGGGGATGGAGAAGAGCCAAGTGAATTTAAAGGGTGAAGATCCACTTTAAGCTTTAATGAACTTTTCATTAATTTGACCAACACCAAAAATTTAGCAAAGAGTATAATTGAAAAAGTCTTCCGACAAGAAAGGATGTCAAATAAACGCAGCATAGCTGAATAAAGCTTTAGGGGAGCTTTTTTCCCCAACTTCTTTTTTGTGACACAGACAGGGTTGGCTTAGTGCTAGACCATGTTTATTACAAACAACTGGTAGCTAAATAAATAACCCCTATCGGCATCTGCCAGAGCTGCTGAGACTGGGTGCCATTTTAAAAATGGCACGGGGCAAATGAAAGTAATCCCAATGGTGCTTTTAAAGTATATATCTAAATTGAAACTTTACATTTTATGCAATGCTTACTTCAAAAAAATGTGGGTAAAGTATGAACTTAATTATTTTATTAACTAGCTAGAGATTTGCCTGCAGGTAGTAAGGTGTATATTATTACCTCCTTTACACTATTAATACACCATGCTTTCCTGCAATTTTAATTATAAAGAAAT